AAAATGATAGTATATGGGAAAAGAAGTTCTTTCATCCTCATTCTAATTCTTACATCCACATTAAAATCCCGTATTTTCGTTTTCGACATTTTTATCTTTCGATACTTTTACCGTTCGACCAAAGTAGGGTTAACCAAAATCCGGAGGAAAACATCCGGAAAAGATAAAATCGGAAAAAATTCTGGAAAAAGATTCAACAGTTTATTTAACAAAGAAACATGTACAATAAAGAAGAGAAATCATTTAATTTGGAGAGAATTGATGTGGTTGTGGGTGAAGAGAACACACACACTCACACCCTGTTCATCACGTGACGAATCTCGATCTCCTCTGACACGGAAAGATGACAGTGGTTGTTCTTCTGCTTCATCAGCTCGCTTGTCTTCGAGTTCGTGTGAGCGGTGGCAGTACAGTGCTTGGATTGACACGTCCAATAGGTGGTTGCATCCGTGGCCTTGTTGCTCTTCTGAAAGATATAGCCGTCGATAACGAGAAGAGGCTTGCCCTTGCTGCTCTTCACGAAGGAGTGAGTCGGTTGCACGTTGATCATTGTGGATGAAGAGTGTAGAAAATGAGAAGAAAATAGGAAATAAGCAGACCAGATAGTTCAGTGTTGTAGAAGTGAGATTGATGTGAAATATGAATAATAGAGAGGAACGACAGTGTATTTATACATGCGCGCTAAGTTAACGATCAGCGACGTGTTCAGCGCCATCGCGCGTCTGTCTATACATAATAATAGAAGCGCAGAGTACAATGAAGTAGAATGATACACGGTGGATGATGATTATGGTTGACGTAGACAACCATAAACATTTATGAAAGAAAATTATCCTTCCTCCTTTACTATAAGGATATTGGAGATTTTTCCAGATTTTTATTTTTTGAATTTTTCATTTTCCGGATTTTTACTGTCCGGATTCCAGGACATATTCCACAACTACACCCAAAACCAAACGACATCCACACCCTAAGAAGTATTCTCACTTGAATATTCAATTTAGCAAAAAAAATTCAGTCAATAACATACTCGCTTTTCAAGCCTACAAGAAAGCTGAGATTAAAAGGCAGACACAGAAAACAAAAAAAATAGTTTGATGCAAGGCAATACAAATGAGTTCTGAGCATCTTAGACAGGAAACAAAAATAATGGAAGAGTTTCAGAGAATTTGAAAAAGTGGAAGCCATTGCTCACGATTTTAAATAGAAACGATTGATGGCAGATGTAAGTATGTACGTATGTGTGCAAGTCACAGTGTGAGTGTGGGTGTGAATGGGTGGTGAATAGAGATCGAACATCTATACCTACTGCAAAGATATTCACGCCGTACACTCAAGTATACGTCCACCCATACTCGCGCCCACATTCCATAACTACACCAATCTACACCCGCTACTAACAACTACACCCATCCACATCCACACCCACACCCATACTACACCCATTCAAAACCACATTAAAACCCACTTTTCACAATCACAGTCACACTCACTTAGAGCAACATCCAACCATAACCACACTCACACTCACATCCATCTACACCTCAAATCCAGGCACACCTATACCGACACCAACAAACACACATAGAGCTTACATCTACCATATTCAAAATGCAGACTCATATTCTCAAGTTCGCTGATTTTTAACGTAAGTATGCCCTTCAACTGGCAGCGAAAACAAACTACGGTGATGTTGACGCTTGCAGACAGTTTTAACAGCGGGTCATTAGGCTGCAACAATCAATGCACGGGGTTTCACCGTAATCTGATGTTTTTTTTCCTTTTCAAACAGTGAATTCGAAGATATTAAGCAGACAGAATGAAAGCCGTGAAAGTAATGTAAATATATATTTTCTGACGTCAGCCTTCGACAGACATTTTTTCCATAGCTGTCAATATTGACTTTGTGATTGTGCATAAACCGTTGGAAAAAAATACAAGATGTTTCATTCAAAAAAAAACAGTATTTATAAGCCGAAAATTTGCCTGACTTTGTGTAGCAGATTATCTTTCGTCAAAGCGCGATTAAGTCATCACTATTGGTTACTTTTCATTTGTTGGATCATAAGCAGTGAGTAAATCAACTTTCACTTTAGAAATCAGCCTTACTTGTCTACAAATTTATTGAAAATATCTGCTCAGTGTTTGAAATGTTTAAAGCTCTCGTAATTATCAATTGCTATTGTCATTCTCTGTAGTACTTCTCTATCAGGCCTGTCTTTCATTTTCAATTCACCACAAATAGCAGATAGGGTAAATGACTGACCGTATTATATTTTGAAAGAGATAGTACACTGAAAATAAAGAATTATAAGGAATCACAAAGAGTTTTGTGCTCACTACGAAACTTTAACCAAGTTTCGTACACGGCATGCAACTTACAAATGGTTTCGAGACTTGCAGCGAATTCGAAATATTTTTGAAGGCTTCGTAAGAAATTTCGAAACCTTTACAAATGTGTTGAATTTGTTGCAATTCAAGTTTCGTATAATATCATTTTTTTTAGTATACCGATGGTAATAGATTACTTTAAAAAACGAATCATTGAAAATTTATTGATGAAAAAACACTAGTCACCACGTTTTCTTAATCAGAAACTTTTATTCTTACTATTGCTTTTGGTGAAATCTCAATAAAAGTTTGTTGACATTTGTCATATTATGTTGGAGTCGGGAAAAAGAATAGGGAAAAGTGATTTGTTTTCTTTCCGATTCATCATTAATGTTCGTTAGCTTAATAATCATAGTGGTGATTACTCATTTTATCGTGAAAAAATATAGTGAACATAGTTTATTTTGATTTTTATGTCACCAAGAGTTTGATAAATCTTTTCTTGACATACTCGCAAAGAATGGAATTCCATAAGAAAGCGAGTTGATTCTTCTGCAAATATTAAAAGAAAGATACTTACATTGAAGCAAAATGATAAGGGAAATCATTTTATTCCAAATTATAAACTTTTTGGTACCGACTTAACGCCTTCCGGTAGAGATTTATTAAACTGTATTAAGTCTGCATCCAGAAAACTAGGATGAGTATGGTATGAATGTAGGTGCGCACGTAGTCGTCGACATCCAGTGGATATAGAAGCGACATTCACACTTACCCCCAAATCCTCTTCTCTTCCTATCTCACCATAGAGCAAACAAAATGTGTGCAGCTCTCGCAATGAAATAGTTTCCTTAGGAGCTAGATTTTCACAATGTTTTAAATCGAAAATCGTAAGTCAATTTTTCAGAAGATATGAGAGAATCAAAGCATTATGTTCGAAAATTTAGTATCTATTCGGTATTTCAAGTACGAAATCATTAGACAATCGAACATTGAAAAGTTTTGAATCATTCAATACAGCAATTTGAATGCATCTATCCTGCCAGACAAAATTGACAAAAATAGTTTGTTAGTGTAGCTCATTTCATGTTGAAAGGCGGAACTCACAAGTCTTATCTAGCTCCATTAAACGAATACAAAATTAGCACAGTAAAAAAATCTCTAAAAGACGATAGTTCTTTTTCAATGATGATTGATTACCATGAAACGTTGAGTATTTTATTTCTAGATTTTGAACACAAATGTTGTTTTCTTGTTTTTAACCGATGTTCTGTCTGTCGTTTTCATAGTTACAATTCGCTATTTATCTTTCATTTTTGAGTTTCGTTTTTTCTCAGTTTAACATTTTTATTATAATAACCGGTTATTATTATAAACATTGAATTAAATGGAAAAGAAGACTATTGTAAATATCCATTATTTAATTTCGGTTGCTAACGTCTATAATGGCTGAAGGTAAAGACGGTCGGTACAGTCTGTTATTTGTATTGCCTGTAATAGGAAGAGGGAGGGAGAGACAGCTGAAAGACTTCAACTTGCAACTTACCCTGATTATTTTCTTCGAAAACATATGTGAGTTCCACAAAGCACGTCTTTACCTGTTAATATGTGCATTTGTGCGTCGTCAAAACAAAATATTTGTTTTGAAAAAAGGAACTGAGTCTAAGGGCAATAATGTCAAAAAAATTGTTTTTTACAAAAACAAAAATCACTTTTTAATGCTTCTTGAAGCCTAAAAAGTGTACATTTGAAAGTACTAAAATATGCGTTAATAATTTCTTGTCTGTATGGGTAAATTCAGTTCTTATGTGAAAGATGCCTTAGGGTGATTCACTCTTTACTTTTCCATGGCAAAATAACATGAGCAATTACATTTGTTGCTGTTGTTTTTGCATTCAATATAGAATACTTACTATCGTCATTGGAGATCTAGTAAATTTTTGTAAAGAAATTTCGTGGATATATCTCTGATTTTTTTGTTAAGCAACGATTCTCACACTTTTTCAATTATGAGTGGTACTATATATTTACTTTACAAGTAACTACCTAGCTAATGTAGTTATTTTACTATATTTACCTCAATAAAAGGTAAAGTAAATATGCAACCCATATTCTTAAGTTTTGGCTGAAAATTGTCGGGTTGAGTTGGATTTTACATTGGTATTTTATTCTATCAAATTCTTGTTTTTATCGTTAATCCAACTAGGAAGTGGCTTACGATGGTCCATATTATTGAATATGTTGATAGCTCTAAAATAATAATTATTGGAAGTATCGAGTGAGATTTTTTGTAGAGTTTTATTGATCAATAAATTACAACTGAATTACGTTGATCATTATAATTAATTTCATGTGAAATATAGATCATATGATTATTGTTTTGCCCAAAGCCGTCAGTATGCTGTCATTTGTATTTAGATGTAAACAAAGATATAAATGTTTTAAACATAAACAAGAGTTTACATCTAATTACGTAGCTCGCAAGATATATATCTCGATGTTTGCTATATGTCAGCAACTTAGGAAGAGGGGCTAGTTATCAACTATTCTCAATATATTTGAGGAGTCTTGATGACCCGTATTTTTTAAGAAGGATTTGAAAGCTAACGTAAGTTTGCTAGGCGATATATAATCAACAATTTTTTCTCTTTCATAGCTTTGTTAAAGATATGTCAACAGCCATGCGAATAGTCTTTACTATGCTTGTATTACTCGCGGTGGGCGAGGCTGCTAATGTGTATCAAACCTTATACATCGATAAGATTCTTCCTTACCCAGAATCGAGTAAACCGGTTATTTCGGCTAATTCTAGTTTTCCTGGGCCGTTAATAGAAGCCTATCATGGGGACACTCTTGTTATAAAAGTGATTAATCGATTAAGTGTTGCAACAACCATGCATTGGCATGGGTTATATCAAATAGGTACTCCTGATATGGACGGTGCAGTTGGTGCAACGCAATGTGCGATTCCACCTGGTGGAAATTTCACATATATATTCAAAGCTGATCCTCCTGGTACCGCTTGGTATCATGGTCATATGTTTGAACAGTATACAGACGGTTTATTCGGACCATTAATTATTCGACGACAAGTCGAACCAAATCATGAACAATATGACACGGAACAATTATTCGTGATATCAGATTGGTACAATTATCCCGCACGTGGAAAATTAACAAATTGGTACTTAAGTTCAAGCAATCCCGATGGTATCGAGCCATTACCAGATGCTACTGTTGTCAATGGAAAATTTACTAAATCATTATTTATATCAGCATCTCGCTCATCGAGGATTCGATTTAGAGTGATTAATGCTGCGTCTTTGTCTATGTACAAAATTTCGATTGACGGTTTGCCATTACACGTGATTGAACTTGATCAACAGGACACTGTCCCGTACAACGTTAGTTCATTTGCTCTTAATGTGGCACAACGTGTTTCTTTTTACATTGATCTCAGAGAATTAGATTCGATGTATGGTCCATCGAGTTTTTCATCGACAAATTCAATCTTTATTCGAATTGAGGCAATGACTGATATGTATCCTGTCGACATATTGAACTACGTCGCTCCATATGCCACTCAACGTTATGCACATCCTACATTCTTCAACCCCTTGTATCTAGCCATATTATCACTTGATTCAACCAATTCCATGCCGATTTATGAACCCCGAGATCCAACTCCAATACTTTCAATGGCAAATCTTCCTTCAGACACCAATATGTTAGCTGCTCGACCATTCAATCAATCTAATTACGTGATTCCCAATGCTACACATTACGTGAATCTTGTAGCTAAATTTGCTTTGGATGATACTGGAATCAATCGCGGATATATTAATGATGCTACATACGCTTTCCTAGGAAACTACACAAGAGTAAAACCGACTTTAATTGTAGGAATCAAACCAGTGAAAAAAGAGCCGCTACTTCATCAAATGGCAACTCGGCCCAATACACTTGATTTACCTTCACCTCGTATCCAACCGGGAAGTCCATTGCCAACGATTCAAAATAATGGATACGGAAATTATCTAATTCCATACGGAGCTGTTGTCGATATTTTTTTAAACAACACAGACGGTGGTGAACATCCGTTTCACTTACATGGTTCTAGTTTTTGGGTTATATCAACATCTGAATATCCAACGGCTGAGAATTTATATAGTCGAGCTTATATCAAACGAGATGTAGTGAGTGTACCAGCTGTTGGATGGGCTAAAATACGATTCGTAGCTGATAATCCAGGTGCTTGGATGTTTCATTGCCATATCGAATGGCATATGGCTGCAGGGCTCATGCTTACTTTCATCGTTTCGCCTAACCAGTTGTTGGCTCAAGGTTACACGATTTCAAATAGCCAAATTGATTTGTGCAATGCTGCATAAACGTTGAGCTATGCATATCAAACAATAAACTTACGGCGAATATCTCTTTTATATTTAGTAACCATAGATTGCTTAAATAAACTAACTGCATAAAAATACCATTTGTGCAATCTTAATCCCACTTACACTTTATTTCGATGTCACTCACTATATATGTCTCTCTCTTTAACAACAATGCAATGACTATATATATAGAGTAATAACATTGGAAAACCCATAGAGTAGGAAATACTATAAATGGTAAATATGAGAAGGAAAATCCATATAATAACATTAAAAAAAAAGAACAACAGAAGGAAAGGAAAAAAGTTCGTCATATATATGTATGACAAGAAAAGAAAGTTCCATAGCGCTTGACTAACAACAAAGAAAAAATGAAGAACATATGTGTACACGTATAACCATATAGACATGATGGGAAAATCTTTATGACTGCATCTGAACAAGATGTAGGTCATAACACCATTGTAATTAGTTCTTATTCAGTATCTTCTAGGTATCGGTGTGAGTAAATAGGTATGGGTGTGTAGCTATATGGGTATGGATATGTAGATATGAATAAGGATGTGTGAATATGAGTGTTTTGGTGTGGATGTGTTTGAAGGTATTTGACACCCGGTAACTATATGAATGTGACTGTAGTCTATAGACGTCGATGTGGATGCGAATACGATGTGAGTGTGGATGTCGGCATAATCCGGATTGACGCTAACGCTCTTCCACACCCATAAGTGCTTTCAAACTATCCTACATTTGGATTATCTCGAACCAATTGATGTCGTCGGTCACAATGATTTGTTTGGAAAAATTCAATATCTAACGCGCTAAATTCACCCTTTAGGAATTCTCTCTAGGCTGTTTGGTGACGGGGCGGAGCTGGGACAAATGTAAAGCTAGAAGCATGTCCGAAGGATTGATGGAGTCAGGTACTAATATTTTTTAATGAATTATATGCGACTGTTTGTTGGGTGTAGGTGTGAGCACGTCAGTGTGATTATTGACTCTGTATTTCTCCACACCCATACCCTCAGAGACAAACAGTAGTATCTTACTAATTTCTTTCTAATGTATTATAATCATTGGTTATTTGATTCTATTTTTGCATGGGTAAGTTTTGATTAGATCTTTCAAGTTCTTTGATATTTCATTATGCGTTGATTTCCCTGGTTTGATGCAGAATCATCTTGAATAGCTCTTGAAGTAATACATCAGACGAAGAACTGTAGTTGGGAAGATGAGCAACGTCGATGAGAACGACAGATGGGGATACATCGAGTAAAAGAGGTTCTGTTTGAATAGAAGCAAGTCGACTGCGTTATTTATAAACTCTCATTGATTCGATGCCAAAACGTATTCAGGTTCTTCATCTAAATTAAGTATTCTTCTACTGATATCGACTCATTTTCAGCAAGAGGAATATTCAAAAGTACATACACCAACGGATTTCTTTTCTGGAATCTTCCTGCTTTATTATGTTCAAAAGCTTAGTAGGTACAGGTGTTTTACAATGATGTAAGAATGAACAAAGATTTTAAGAAGTATTTCGATTCTAACTTAAGATCAAGACTCAGACTGAAATTAATGTGTTTATTTAAATTGAATTTTTATGATAGTTTTCAACTGACGACCATCAATTTTAAGTTATAATACAATCATATTAGAAGGGCGAATGTTCAAAGAGTCGATCAGATGTAGGATTACCAGAAAACAAACATGAAAGAGCAAATATTTCTGACCAATATTAACAGAAAAAAATGTTTAGAAAATACCTGAAGTAAGACAGAGGGAATAACGAACGTATCTACACGCCAACACAACACGTTTTTGTTCTTGTAATCAATAAGAGTTCTGCTAAGTACGATTGGGGAGCAACTGTCACGGAAGCATCTGTCTGATGAACATTTTTCATGGAGTTAGTGGAAAGGAGGAGGAGGAATATGTCAGCATACGTCTTCTTCCGATATCTTTTGTTCTTTTTTGACATTTTCCAGCAAACCCAACATAATTCCCATGTTATTACTGTATTGTCACTTTGCTATGATAGACTTCGTTTGATTGATCGCTTCATTTTCTAATTACGGAAAAAAATGTATACGATACAATATGCAGATCAAATCATTCAGACTCAAAGTTATGAGACAATCGCTTCACCCAATGTCTCAGGAAATGAACACTGATTCCTTCAAATTTTAGAAAACTTGATTTTTTCTAACCAAGAGTTTTTTGTCATATCAGCTTTTGAGTAGAGTATCACAGTTTGCCCTCAAAAAATCTGGTGACTCTTCAAACTCATTGCTTCCAGTCAACTTTTTCCTTCTCTTAGAAGGCTGGCATCGAAGTATTTTTAATGATGTCAAAACATAGTAATAGTATCAAATGTTGAAAAATTATATAGAAAAACAATTTAAAATGTATTTTCTATGAATTATCTCTCCCTTCAACATGGTCAAGGAAAAGCCTATGATAAGCTTTGCGGAGTGCCATTAGCTCCGCGTGAGTGCCACTTTCAAGCAAACACCCGTCGTATCCGAATACACAAATTAAATCGCACGATTGAATAGTTGAAAGACGATGAGCAACGATAATAACAGTACGTGAAGGATCATCTTGACACGCGAAATTCATCGATTCTTGAACTAGCTGAAAACAAAAGGAAAAAAGAGTCATTTTTCAATAAATTGAATTAGGACGAATGAAAGAAATCCTTCTTTCATATTATGTTCTGTGGTACAAAACTTTATTACATGTTGTGGCCAGCGGCAAATCGAGTATTTGCACAAATAATGACTTATGTGGATTTAGTCAGCATCATACTAGTGACAAAATTTCCTCATGAATGCACGGGGAACTACTTCTACCAGAAAAATTAAGTTTTTTGAAATTTTAACTGTTTTCCGCGCTCGGAAACGTTAAGTGAATTGACTTCACGTACCTTTTCGTTGTGCACGTCGAGTGCGCTCGTTGCTTCGTCCAGTAAAAAAATTTTTGGGTTGCGAAGGAGAGCTCGAGCAATGGCGATACGTTGCTTTTGACCGCCAGATAAATAGAAAATACCATTACATCCAACAGATGAATGGTAACCCTATTAGCCGGAATGTAAAACAAAAACGGTTTTCCAATCTGGCATTCGTGAAAAAAACAAACTTGAGGTAAAGTCTCGATGAAATCATGACAATGTGCTCGTTTTGCCGCATGAACAATATCTTCATGAGTAAATCTGTCTGATGCTTGTCCATAGGTAATGTTTTCTGCAACAGTGAGATCGCATACAAGAACTGGTTCTTGACTGACAAAGCCAATTTGAGAGCGTAACCAAGATAAATTCAACATTTGTATATCACAACCATCAAGTAACTAATGATAATTAAAACATAAGAAATATTCTCTCACCAAACATTTTTTCTACATATGGTTCAAGTTCATCGAGGAATTATCAGATTCTTTTGAGAAATCTAATATCATCTTTAACTTCATAAAATAAGATTAACTCAGCAATGTATTCATGTTTAGCCACTAAGTATGGTTTTTAGAGTTCATACACGAAAACCCAGAGTTTCGGAGTCACATTTGATAAGCAGTATGCAGCTCAAAATAAAAACAAATTACTGTCATGCTGCCTAAAGAAATCCCATTTCCTTGCAAGATTCCATAAAAATAAATAAATAAATGGAAAAATTCTGGTATTTGAAGGATAGAAAGAATTCATATAGGTTAGAAGATATTGTCTTAGAATCAAATGTTCAAGAGCTCTCCTATTGGACATAGTAGGGTAGTAGCCACTATAAAAAATGAACAAATGTTCCCTCTCGCATCGTTACAAACTCGCACCGACTTGCTTAGTTGGGTTCATATTTTTAACAACAATTTTTCACGCACATCTCTATTACATGATAGAGGAAAAGTCGAAATTGAAAATTATGTAGAGCTGGTCGGAGGTATTAGTCTTGTGGACTCCCTTAAATAAAAAGAAAGTATCTTCCTTCATTTCACATAGCAAGTTGAAATTATCACAAATTTTTGGACACAAATTTCTATGCCCTCACTTCTAAAAGCAAGATTTATAATCAATCTTTTAATGTATAACATTAACAGTATATATAGACTTTGGACTTTATCGGTTACATGTGATCTAGTCAGTCATCTGAATGCATCAAAAATGCTTAGTAAAGTATGCCAATAATATCAACTAAGTAGTGAAATGGAATTGCTATTCGAATAATTGAGATGATCAAACTATATATATATATTTGTTAATCATTAGGGATTCGTCCGGGCTGTAGACAGATACTGCCTAAGATTATTATTTTTCGTTTTAGATAAGACCTTATTCCTGTAAAATATTCTTTAGAAACATCTGATAGAATTTACTGATTATATTAGTTGAATTTACCAAGTCATCGTTGACGAGAAAGTGCAATTAAAATTATGATTGAGTGCTGGATTAGCTATTCACAATCTCATGCATTCGTAAAATAGAAAATAATATGAAAACAAAAGAAACTGCAAATATAAGTTCTATACATTTCTATTCTGTTTCTTGTTGTTTCGATCAAATTCATCGAGAAGTGGATTAATTTCCTCATAAAATAAGGCTATTATCGTAAATTATTCTTTTAACTTTTTTGTCGACACTCTTTGCGGATACCAGGTGAACAAAAAGTAGAGATCTTAGAATTTTTACGTGAAAGCAACAAATTTAGTACACACCACACGACCTTGATTGCAATCATAAAAGCGCTCGAGTAGTTGAATCACTGTGGATTTACCACATCCACTTGGACCTTTCATAAGCAAGAAAAGATTCTTTATTCGATTTCATATTGAATAGATTGTCTTACCAACAAGTGCAACACTTTGACCTGGAAGAAAAATTCAATTCAATAATTGAAGAGTATGGACAAAGGTAACAAACCAGGTTTTATTGCTAAGTGAAATTTATCCAGTACAGTTATCGATTTTCGCGTTGGATATGCGAACATAATATTCTCAAACTCGATTGATCCAGAAAAGCTATCCTGTGAATTGAAGAAAAAAAAAGGAAAAATTCAGGTTTTTGTCTCGAAGAGTCTCACAATTGTTTCGCCTTCCGTTGAACAATTGTCAATCACTGGTTTACGTTTGAAAAGTCGATTCAATCTTTTGGCTGATGCACTTGACTGAGCAAATTCAGATGATCTATTTACGCAAAAGAAAAGTCATAATGAATTATTGTGAATAAACATAGTTACATGTTAGAAATATCGTTAAGCAGCATTTACCAGTAGGATAAAGAAGCTAGAAGGTATCATGCAACGTTTTGATACAGTTCAAACAAAGTTATCGACGACTACAGGAAAATGTATTGCTCATTGGAATGCCCGTATCTTATCGAATTAATAGAAGCCCTTAGTGACTCCTATCATTCAATTTTCAAGGTCAACAACAAAGATTTTTAGAGAACAAAAAAGGAATGTTCACGTGAAACAACCATTGTACCAGTTTATTATAGAAGAACTATACTGAAAACTTTCAGATATGATGATTTTTCTGATGTCAGTAAAAGACCTTACTTAAATATGCAATATTTTTGATTTTTATGAAACCCTACTCATTAAGGTGGAGTAAGAAAAATGCTCAGTGTGTACTTTCGATATCGATTCCGAATAGCTAAAATATAAAAATTATGTCGGTAGAACTGCTTTTAGAACATTCTGGGTCACTCTAGAACAACATGAGATCTAATGATCGAAGTTACATACCAACTAAATATTGTAATCGAAAGCGAGAATAATCATCAGCAGCATGTCACTATGTCTGCTGAGGCAGTCAAAAGATACTGGTAGTAAACATCATTTAGCGAAAATTATCGAGCAACAACGCAAAACAGCAAGAATCATTGTTTTAAACTTGAGAAAGATGACTGGCAAGAATATAACCTGTTTCGATGCTAAGGAAAAATTAATTGAAATAGAACATGATCGGTAACGGCATAGTAAAAATTGAAAAAAAGAAGGCGGACTACCTATATAATGAAACAGCGTGGGAAATATTCAAATTTAGTAGATAGCCGACAACGCATTCATTTTCAGTTATTCTTGATTCCTAAAAATATTGATGTACTTGTAAATCTGCTCTAGAGTTCGGAGATCAATTGCCGCTAAGTTGCACACTCGACCAACGAGATGAAAACATCTTATTGTATGCAAAAAAAAAAGTGAGAGGCGTATAAGTGTACCAACAAGAGAAAATAGCGTATGAAAGACATTCATTAAAAAGAAAACTAACGACGATACAATACGTTTCTTTATGAGGATGAGTGTGATACGTAGTGTCTGTATGGAGTGTGTATGCAGACAACAGTCTTCTCTTTACCTCTACCTCCACACTCACACCCACGTTTGATTATCTTGTTATTATAATCGATTAAAGGTGTATGATTCTAATCGATTTAGAATAAGTTTTTCGTATAAGCTATGTTTTTTAAGTAGGTCAAATTCAAGTGGCTTATAGACATCTCTGTGATTTTTTTTCTATTAATATGCCGTGTCTCAGCTAAACCGATTGAAGCGATCATTTTCATTTACCTAAGCAGCTATTCATGCATGAATTACAATGACATAATCAAACCGCATAGTTAAGGTAGAGCTTTCAGATAAACATCGCATATATTTATTTAGAATTTGAATAGAAACATGTACAAGTTATGCATGAAAATGAGAGATGTACATTTTTGTAATATCATCATCTTTTATTCGATTTAGATAACGATAAATTAATTGTTTATCAAATAAGTTAAAAGTAATTTAACTATGCGATCTGATAGTATTATCATTACTACTGAAAAATACACAATCGAACTAAATGGAAATAACCAACAAAATCACAAGATGTTTCAGTCATTTCATTCTGTCTATTATGCTATTTTATGAGTGTAAATTATGTATAGTATCAGCTAAATATGTAGTTATTATAATGCAGCAAGATAAGTAGCACCTATGCATGAATCAGTTAAGTACATACACGATGGTGAATATTTGTATCACATCCAGTGCAAACGGTGTAAAAGCAAATAACCTATAATGGACATAGATAAATGACTTAAATTTTCGAAATACGTTGAAGAGCACTTGAAAGAGTTTCATTTTTGTATAATACGTAAAGAAAAAAGAATGAAGCGATTTCGCATTAGAAAATATTTGTTTTCTGTATTATTCTTAAAATGATGATAAGCTGAAAGTAAATTTTTTTTCATAATTGAACATATACTAGATAACTTACAAGATAATACGCTGCGAATCAATAAGATCTTGATCAAGAAGTACAACAGCAAGTGCACAAACGGAGGGCAAAATGAATGTAATAACAGGCCATGACAGTGCATATGCCACACCACTTTTGAGTATATATGGTATTGTTAATCTGAAAAAGAATTTGAATACAACAAATATGAAACAATTTCTCGTGTGGGAATTATTTTAAAAAGATTTCAAAAGTGAAACATTTGTAGTAACGATCAATCAGAATTTCTCGATAAACATCGGAATACTAAACTTTTACTGTGTCATTTTAACCAAATATCTTTTAGAGATGATCTCACCCTATTGTAATTCAAAACTACTTCCACTTAAAACGTCCAAAATGATAAGTTTTATCATCAAAATTCGTTATATATTCTTGTTAACTGAAGTAAAATGAGCAATATTTCGTATATTCTTTTTCAGACCTCTCACCTGTACTTTCGTTCAATGATATGTTCGAATGATTCCAATGTTTCACGCTGTCTATTAAGTTGAAATAAAGTACGAATATTGCGCACACTCTGTATCACTAAATCACTATATTGTGACACCAGTTCTTGAATCAATATTGCCAGTTGAATATTTCGTCGAACATTGAAAATAACATTGATAACTACAATGCTGAGTAAGCCGTAGACGACGAATGTCAATTGCCATGAAAAAATCGCTCCAAGTACAAGAACAATTATCAAAAGTGAAATCGATTGAATGATTAGACCAAGTCGAACTCCAGTCAGCTAGAAAATTTCTTCTTTCAAAAATCAAAATTATATATTATCAAAAAAAAAACCGATTTTCTCAGTTTCTCAGTTGCACTTTAATATTTTTTACAGATCGTTCGGGAAATTTTCATTTATTAAACTCTTATCAATACCTGTTAGAAAAAATATTTTTCGGGAGAAAGCACTATTATCTAGAATTAACTATTTTTTTTTCGACGAAGAATATAATAGGCCTGAAATAATGAAGTCAGATAAGAATGCGGTGTTACCAAAGAAGATTTAGTGTAGATAGGAGAGAGAAAGAAAAATTAAAAACATAAAAATCAAGATAGTCTTAATTCTTAAATGGGAAAACGTGTTTCTGAACAAAATCTCGTTGTCTACAACACACGATAGGAAAATTGATGCGAACAAAATATCAAATTTGAAGCAAAATTATTCTGCGCGCACAGATCTATCTAAATGGAAAATATTTTAAAAGATCCATACGACTGCGTTTGCACCCACTTGGAGTAGAATCCTATGGGTCCACGAATTTTTCGTAGTGGTCAAAGGCTCTAAAGCTGAGTCAGGATTCTGGGTCGAAAAATTTACACAACGACATTGTACACACTAAAATGGATCTTGACAATTACAACAAAACTTTTCGAAGACCTTTAGTTGAGAAATATCATCCATTGAAACTAACATTTTTCACTGTAGCAATTATGTTCAAATGTTGTTGTCTTTTGTTTTTTTCCAAAAGGCCGTTTCATTTGAACCGTAAAACTGAAAAATGAAGTGGCCTATAAAAGAGGCAGAGATGTTCGATACACTTCGAAGTAACGAAAGTTTTTTTTACATCAGCAAAAAAAATTGAAGATCGAATATTTTTATTAGTCAAAATAGACAATCTCTCTCATACCGTCGAAGCTATCACAAAAAACAAAAAAGAACCATGTAGCGTCTTGTGAACGACGCTTACCAATTAATGTTGAAGTGCATAGTAAGAAAGTTGTCCCTCTGTGATTCGATATTGACTGATCATAACTTTGTTTCGTTATTGTGAGTCTTTCACGCATTGAAAGATAGTGGATACTTTTGAAAATATGCTCATTAGAATGGAACATCATAAATTACACTGTAGAAAAGAAACACATTGTTCTTCATTCCATAATTTTGAACTTCGAATGAGGTAAGCAGATTGATTACAACCTCATGGAGGAAGATGATATCACTATATATTATTCTTTGCGTATAAATTGAGTCTCAGTTCTAGCGTAATGCTTTTCTCTGAGAAGAATTTGGTGGTTCGACTACAAGATTCGGTATCGTTAAATGATCAATATAATTTTTTATATGATTAGTTTTATTTGTATTGAATTTCTAGAAGATGGCATTTCCAGCATAAGGTTGTATTTAATGGCAATTCAAACAAGCCAACAGAATAGATAGAGTTTTTCGTTGCTCTCAAGTCTCGATACAAAACTGCACAGGTAAGATGTATACATTGATACTGATTCTACGCCATAACGTTGTAATAATAGTCAAATGAAGCAAAGATGCAAAAGACTTAAAATATGTAGAAGATGGGAAATCATGGCAATCTTAAGCTGAGCAGAAGCTCTAAAGCACATACTCAAGCGTTGTGACAACACTGAGAAATGCGCCAAATCTTTGTTGCTGGAGCTATTTGGTCAAGATTAATAGTTCGAGATACTTCACAATTTATGTAACTTTATGCAAACCCACCCACTCAAGTATGTGTAATCCTCGTTTGTTAGCGAGGATCATTGTATTATGATTGACTGAAGCTGCTAATATTAGTTTGTAGAACTCTCACATTAACTCAATCGAGATAAAGCGGTTTTCCCTAGTCCTTTACTACATACAAAACGATGAATTATGGTTTTAAATAATATACAATCTGTGCACGTATGAGCATAAGTTTCAATGAAAACGTTTGACATATAACAGTAAAAATTCAAAACCATATTTCCATACATACCTTCTGAATTTCAAGAGCATCTGTAGAAAGACGTGAGCACAACGAACCGATACTATTTTCAGCTTCATCAAACCATCCGACTTCTTGCCGCAATATGCATCCAAATGCTTTGGCACGTAATCGATTGGTCAAGCGTGCACCAGCCAGCGACAAACAACCTTGCTATATAAACGATGTAGAAAAAAAGGAACATTTTTTAACAGAACGTCTATCTATTATTTTAATCTGAAGTTGTTTTTTGCTCATGCAATAAGTAGAATTGTCATATTTTACTTTGAGATACTGATAGCAGGTAGGATCGCATGCTTTGCTCTAGCACGCTTAAGCAGTATTCAGTATAGTACCATTGAACATTCATCATAAATGAATGAATGACCTAGTTTTCTGGATATTTTACCGATAATTACACATATGCAAATATAGTTCTACCAGAATGAAAATGATTTAAATTGAAGAAAAAAAACGCTTCGAATCGGTGGACATTATTTTGATTTGAGGAATTGACTACGTTTTATAGACTAGGTGATAATATAATCATATCCTGGTCAATATAGATACAATCAACTGAAGCTTCCGAAAAATACTGGTCAGTGCATATACCGTCAGATGAGAGATTCTAAGAGAATGAGCAATTTCACACGAGCATCGATTGCCACGTAACTTTGTCATACTAAACGAGTCAGAACTGTAGGGATATAACCAAGTCACTCTTGATCTAGTACGTAAAGGCTAGCAAGCATATTTTGGTCGAACAAAATATCTCTCTGTGTTTCTCTGATGAGGCAAAATATTTCAAAAGTCCGCTGTGAAAAATGTGTAGCGACATGGATGTTATCTCACACATTTACACATGATTTACCAATATCGGAAACATTGATGATAGTTGAGTAGGTATTACACTAGACAGTAAAATTCGAAAACTTGCATAGAATTAAAGATTTCTACAGTATTGTTGCTTTTCTGATTGAAACTTCGAATGGAACAGCAAAAAAAAAAGATACTTATTCTTGAAGACGAATGAGAAGATTTTCATGCATATCGATCATGAAATCTTACCGCGATAACTGTGAATATAACTGCAGCAATACCCAATGCAAATATGATGGATGTGAAAATGTATATTTTATTCATTTGTGCAGAAATAGTACATTCATTAAATCCCTATAAACAAATATTTATCATAAATGTTAAAAAGATCACAGAACGGTTTTTCTTTATTCATGACTTACGTTGATAGCCTGGACCATGGATATAGAAAATGCCGGACTAACTGCACATGAGGCTATCGTAAACAGACTAGCAATAATTAAATAGGGCCATTCAGGGCCATTGAGTTTCAATAAATTGATCAATGAACGAAGTGAACCGAAAGATGACTTCAATAGAATTAATTAGTTATTTAGGATGATATATAACAAAAGCTATGATATACCTCATCGATCATAGGTTCAGTTTCTTCTGTCTCAAATGATGTTACATTTTCTTCTTTTTCCATCGTTCGAATGCCTAAAAAAAGTATTCTTACATCGTTTTTATGAACTTGAGAAATGAATTGTGGTATGCTTCTATATAGAATAAAAAAGCAATAATATGACTTTTCATTTACTATTCAACTCTTCATCACGTATGATTTCAGTTGAGAACTCTTCGGATTCTTGCATATTGACTACTTCTGACGATTGAACATTGAGGTTTTCGCCTTGGTAGTTTTTGAAGAGATCACAGTATACATTATTTGCAGCAATAAGATCCTCATGTGAACCTTGTTCTATCACTGCACCATCTTTCATCACTACTATCCAATCAGCATGACGTATAGTCGAGAGTCGATGAGCTATAACGATGGTGGTACGACCTGTATTACGTACATAAAAATAATTTGTTCAGTTCTTGCAACAGACAAGTCAAAACAAATGTACGACCTTTGGAAGCTTGTTCGAGTGCTTGTTGTACAATCTTTTCACTCGAAGCATCAAGTGCACTCGTTGCCTCATCAAGAATAAGTAAGTTCGGTTCACGAATAAGAGCTCGTGCTAAAGCGATACGTTGCCGTTGACCACCACTTAGCTTAACACCACGTTCACCAACCATAGTGTCATATCCCTTAAAAGAGAAGAAAATGAGACAAATATTTGTTTGTATACAAAAATTTAGAAATAACTATAGACAATTATCATTACTTGAGGTAATTTCATGATGAAATCATGAGCATAACCTTGTTTAGCCGCTTTGATAACATCGTCTTGTGTTGCATTTTTTTTACCAAAACGAATATTATCTTGAATTGAAGTTGCAAATAGTACCTATGTTTAGAAATCGAAATTTTTCAACTTTTGAACATGTGACATTGATAAGAATATTACTGCTTCTTGACTGACAACTCCTATAACTTGATTGTAATCATAAATGTCAAATTCGGCAATATTACGATCATTGATTGTGATTTGACCATTGGTTAATTCGTAGAAACGAAGCAGAAGTTGAACACATGTACTTTTACCTGTTTTTGTTATAGAAAAATATGTTGCTGAACATTACTGAATGAATCGCTAGTCTTACCACTTCCTGAACTTCCTACAAATGCCACTGTTTTACCAGCACTAACCGTAAATGATACGTTATTCAAGACAGGTTTTTCTTGTCGACTTGGATATGAAAATGAGACATTGTCAAACGTGATTTTTATTTGATTATCAGATGTTAGTTTCACGTCGTTTTCACTAACTGATAGTTTTGTTGAAAATTTAAACTGTTGTGTCGATTGTTTTACATGACTCTAAGAAAAAATGACTTTTCAAATCAATATTCGATCACTTGCGAACAGACAGCAATTAGAATCAATTAATTATCATACTTGAAAGTAAAACTCTACATATTTCAAATAATATTTCAGGTATAAATCTTTCCATCTATTATTTTCGAAATTCATAGATACTTTAAGACCTGAAAAACGAGGGAAATGCATGAGTAATCTGATTTTCTCGACTTTTGTTTTCTGCAGAGTACAATCAACTTCACATTTCTTACTAGAAAAAATTCAGTTTTTGAAAGAAAATTAGACGATCTACATCAGACTCATGATCTTGTGAGGAGTTTTATTCATCACAGTCCTTCCCATGATTGATTTTGAATAATAGTTATCCTAGTACATCCGTGCGAATTTTCCTTATTAACAAGTTTCGACTATTCGCCTGTAACAAGCGTAAGTAGAATAAAAGACTGAAATGAATTCGAAAGCATTAAAAGAGGTAGATATAACTACCTCAGCTTCGTCGATGTGTTGTACTATTGGCAAAATAAGAGTACATGCATCAGCAAAATCTTTTAAGCATGGAGCAAGAGAACCAAGAAATAGCATGCCCTCAGTGATGGCTGTGACAACCTGCAAGTAAATATTCATATCGACAGTCAAATAAGTTTTAACAGATCAATATTAACATAAAGTAGGATTACTTACGACAACGATTTTACCAATATCGAGTGTCAAATGCTTTCCGCTATTTATAAGCCATGCTCCTGAGAGAAGACCAAGTGCAGTCGTCCAGAACGCAATCGTCGATAACAGTCCAATATAAAAACCATAAACCAATCCTTTGCGAACAGCGTATTTGGCGGTACCTTTGAGTTTCGATGCGTAGCTATAATATATTCCAATGAAAAGAAGCATCAATCGGATTCTAATATGGTTCAGATGTAACACTATACTGACGAAAGGGATTCTCCAATTTAAGTATCAGTTTTGAAATGACTTTTCTGATAGGCTAAAGATTATTGAAACTGGAATGATACTTGGTTGATTCATTTACAATAGAGTTGATTTTTTAGGTGTATTAATTTTATTAGGTATTCGAATAGTAAAATGTATTTTAACACGGTTCCAATGGTTTAGTTTGAATATGAAACTTTGCTAACAATCTAGAAATTAAGCGAGCTTTCTCTGAATAATGGTGCAGCCTAAAAGTATACCTTTTCGATCTAGCATCTATAGATTTTTAATCGACCTTTCTTGAGAGTATTCTCGTCTTTCCGAATGTTAAAATTACAACTATTTTTTTTTGACTTCTAGTTTTTCACCTTTCATATATCTCAAAAAAAGTCTTCTGTCGAATGTCGTAAACGTGATAGGTTTTTACTGCTAATTAATGTTTCAATTGAATCTAATTTTCAAAATGCATAGCAGAAAACTTGCGTTGCAATTACTCCATTGTATACAAAATCCCGCATATGATGATGATGATTTTTCATTTCATAAGATATTAGGAGCATGGATAATGAACTGATAACACCACTGAACATGAGCACTTTTCTATAATTTAGGGTACTATGCATATTTTGACCTTTCTATTCGAAGGAAAAGAAACTTTAAAAAAAATAAAAACAAGGTTGGCCCAACAGAGCTTATGCTATGGTCATCAATATCTATCTCTTCTGAAACTTTAAAAATTTTCTGATGGACCATTCTGCACAAGCTTCGGCAATAGAAATTTTCTTTAATGAGATAAGTTTCTTACTCTTACAGATGGTAAGGCGGCTGTTAACACAATTTTCTTTTATTTAGGTGATTACTTTAAAAAAGAAGTTATTCGAATTTTCGTGGTTGAATTATATAAATGTTTTCTTGAGGATTCAACATATCTCATTTCTATTTAATAAAGCAACCAGAATCAAAGGGACTAATTAGTATTTATGCTTAGTTTTACAGCCATTTCTTCTAAAACCAATCCTAATATATCTTTTGTGCCTAACGAGCCTCTCAGTATTATCAAAAATACAAATACAAATCTCTTTAATACTTTCAGAAAGCCGTAAAAAAGATTGAAGAGCTCAAACATTACAAGTCTTCAACATAGATTTCAATTACAAGGTAATGGTCCATTTCTGTATTAATATTCTACTACTTTACTAAAAAGCAACTTACCGTGTTTGCTCACTAGTTTGTGCGTTGAAGGCCAATACAGTTCGAAAAGCAGCAAATACTTCCTCGGCGACTTTTCCTGCTTGCCCATAAGATTCCATTTCTGTAAGATTTGCTTTAGCTGTTAACTTTAATTGAAAATTACAAAATAATTTTTGACAATTTTTGAAAACTCAGATTTTTCATCTTGGTTTCGCTTTTTTTTTCATAATATTTTCCAACAAGAGTTCTCAGATTTTGAATGAGAGAAATTTTATCTTGAGTACTTTTTATGCAAATATTCATGTTGTGTCATGTTATAAGAAATGGATGTTTTTTTTTCAGTTGGATATAGGTCTTGAGCAGATGTATTTCAAAAAGAGTAATCCGATGCTTTCAAATTTGAACTAGTCATGAATCAGCGGTTTTTCGATATTAATAATAAGACATTTTCGTCAAATCATTTTGAATTAATAGGCAAACCTCTTAAGATAACTATTTAACTTTAGTTTAAGGTTTTTATTGCATCAAGAAAAAAGTTTAGTCAATCGTTTTAAATATTGTTCAGTTTGTCGACAAGTCAACTGAAGTGAATTTATTCAAACATATTCTTGAGAGTTTCCATGATTTTTCTACTCAATTGTGTTAGGTTTTAGTTCATAATAAATGATTTCAACTCAATAAACTCGAGATTAAAATGGAAAACATGATGGAACTATTTCGCAAGTACATGAATATACTTTTTATTTTCATCATGACTGGCTAGAATGTCTATGAGTATTATCTCAAAGTGTCTGTCACCGTCTTTAATTGCGGCTGATTTACCGTACCATAAGACAAATAAAAAAGGAAAGGTTTCTGGCTTCAGGACTTCAAATCGATTAAACTATTTGGAAGTCTATAATATCTGTAACACTCTCAGTGAAGTTTATTGTGTATCGTTATATACTATCACTTTCTTATTGAGTTGACTGTTCATGCACGTTGTTCCAACCGTATCATGTTATCGAGGGTTATATCATGCTTTGCTCTTCTCCCTTACATATTGTATACTGCTCATCACTTAACCGTCTGCTGTCGCTCATCGTATTCAGTTTATCTTTTCTTCTTATATAACCACATATCACTGTTTAGTCTAGCGCATGCTTCTACTCTGATCAATGCTCAATGCTTGCTCTTTCTCTTTCTCTCGTTATAATATCTATTCTTGTCCTCTCTCGTTCTACGCTGGGTATATACAGAGTAGACAAGAGAGAATAAAGGCATTCTGGTGTGGAATAAACACTAAAATCGTT